AACGCAAAATGGGAATGAATCGTCCCGCTTTCATGGGAAGATTCATTCCCATTTTGCAGAGGAAGAATGCGCACGAAGAGAGAGAGAGAGAGAGATAACCTGGGAATCTCACCAAAAGGTCCACGAGTAAAACATTCAACCCACGGGGCCCGGACCCCACCTACCTTAATATTCAAATGCACCGGAGCCTTGTCGAAAAAAGAATCAGGAAAGTTCCTTTGTCTGAGTTCCATTTTCAAACTGAAGACTCTGAGAAACAGTGCTGCCGACCCTGGTAAAGTCCTCATGATGCTCATCCTCCTCCCCCTTCCTTCCCTCCCCCGTTTTCTTTTTTGAAACAGCGTCGGGCGTGGCAGGTCTTGAGTTCACAAAGGCAAAAAAAGAGAAAACAGGCGCCAACTTCTAAATGGCAACTTGGGTCGAAAAGTATCCGTTGGGCAATATTTTTTCCCTTTCCGCATTTGACACTGTGGCCAACCCTTGTAAATATGACACCCAGCCTGACACCATGGCCGTTGGTACTGTCATTGCTTTTTAAAACAAAAAGTTTCTTCGAATTCTCTTGCCCGTCTGGTTTCTGCAAGGAAAATGAGCAGAAGCGAGATGACAATAACCACAATGCACAATCACATTGAAAGCCAGAAAGTATCACAGTGTCCAGAAAGCAGCATTGCACCAATATGACACCAATGGAGAATCGTAACACTGAAAACCAATGTCAATGAGAGCTTGCTCTCGCCACCATCAACACAAGAGTCCAGGTCCTTCTCCCTACTTGGCGCTCGGCGCCAAGCCTACTTCCTATACTGCTACAATCTGCCTACTAATTGACAATGCAACTGTTGACGTCAGCAGCCCACGAAGTACTTGAAGATGTCGCCCAATGCAGACCATCGCCAATACCGGGTATGTGCCCTCACATCGTCATCATCATCATCCTTCTCTCTCTCCCTCTTCTTACACCCACGTCTTCCCTCTGTACACCCGAAGACCACCCCTGCGCCTCACTGTAGTCCAAGCCCATCTAGCTATGGAGGCTGAGCTATGGCGCTGCCCTCAGCAGCGCCCTGCTTCCTGCACGACCGCATGCGTGCAGCACCTTGCCCTTAGCGCTAAGCAGCCCGCGAGCAAACGCTCCAGCAGCGCTGCCGCTGCATCTGGCAAGTGCCTGAATGAATCCCCGGGCAGCGAGCTCTTTCCTATATGGAAAGAGCCTGCCTGCCCCGGCGGTCTGACTGGCCTGGGCCTCTGCCCAGAAGCTTCCGGTAGGCCCCAGGAGGCTGTGCCTCGGTTGCAGCTGCTGGGCCTTCGTTCGGTTAGGCCTCCCAACTGTCTGTTTATGAGGCTGTGATTCTTGCCCACGGCCTGCATTTCCTGAAAGGCCTGGAAGGCCGTGGAATATCTTTGCTGCTCGGCCTGTGTTTCCCTCAATCAACTGGCGCGTGAAAACTGCCTGGACCCCAAATACGAAATTGACAGAATTGGGCCTCTTGAAATTTGTTAGGCCCGCCTTCACTTAGGGCGGGCACATCTGTAACAGGGGCCCCCTTAGGCCTGCCGAGGACTCAGATCCTAACGTTCCCTCCTTTACGTCGACAGTCCTCCGAGAAGTCTTCTAGTCCAGGCATCTTCCCCTTGAGTTCTTTTTCATAGCCTGCAATAACTTGAGGTGCTGTTCGCAGGAGTTCCTCTCTGATGAACCACCGATCTTCGCTGGGATCCAGATGATGTTGGAATCTGACACGATATTGCATTCTCGGCTTGGGAGGGCTGCCTCTGCCCGGCGGCTTAGGCACTGGCATCATTCGATGCTCAATGATTCCATCGATGTCGATTTCACCATCCATGGTTTGGGGCAGCATTGACCGTCTGGAGGGAAACTGTGCAGTCTCTGCGAAAGGAGTCAGTTTTGAGGCGTGAAAAACTGGGTGTCTGCGTAAGTGAGGTGGGATGTGAATCACATAGGAAGGTCCGTCTATCTGATTCCCGACTATGTCTAGGACCTCCCAAGGACCGAAGTATTGTGGCATCAGTTTGCGAGATATGCCCAGCTCTTGACCCAGTTCAGGTGATTTGACCCACACTCTATCACCTACCTGAAAG